GTAGCTTAGAAACCGCCCCGAGAAATACATTTATAGGGACGGTTCTGTTAAGTAATCCGTCACTAGAAATAGATATATTTTCAAAAATCCTGAAAATATGATTTTCAGGTATGATTGCTTATGTCAACTGCCTATGAAAATAAGTGATTCCTAGGGATGGTTGACTTAAGTCTACCAGCCCTAGAAATCAATTTTTAAAGGCAGTTGACTATGTCAACCACTCTAAAAAATAGTCTGAGCACAAATAAATTCATAACTTTTTCAAATTAAGTTGGATGAAGATAAAAAATTTATCAAAATTATAGAGCTCAACGAGATTTAAAACTTTATAGTTGATGATTTTTTATTCAACATTGTTTATGGGCCCAAATATATATTAAGTTGTCATATTTTGAATTTTTTTAAATGACCTCGGATGGAGACAGGTTCTATATCAAAGTTGTATTGCTCGACGAGATCTAAAACTTTTTAGTTAAAATTTTTTCACTTAAGATTGTTTATAAGTCAAATATTGATTACAAGGTTCATACATATTAGTACAAATAGATAGCATCATAAAGCTAGTCATAAGTGATTGTGTGGTGTGGTGGTAGGGGATAGAACATTCAAGGTGAGAGGTGGTGGGTTTGAATCCCAGCGGCATCACTCTACTAGAAATAGCGAGAATTATTAAATTCTTTGATTGGCTGGTTAGTCCTTCGCGCTTCTGCCACACTAAATTTTTTGTTATTTTTAAGGCTTCTAAATGATTTCAAAAAAAATCTGAAAATTATTTTTAGGAATGGTTAACTTATCCTGAAAAAAGATTTTGAAGAACAGTTATCTTAAGAAAACCGTCATTCAAAATCAATTTCTAGGGACGGTCACTTCTTTTTACAATCGATGGCATAGTAGTGGTTTTTTAATCTGGCTCTGAAGACCATTTTTTACTGTGAGTAAAAAGCCTTTTTGTACTAGTGATAAAACGAAGATTTTGCAGCCAGGCCCTGTATTTTGGTAGTGGTCCACCCTATTTTAGTACGTCCTTACCATTTTGGTAGTACTGAGTATTTTCACATTGATACCTCCAATGTTTGTACCGTCCGATCTTATATCCTATAAATGATTTATATTTTTTCTAACCATTGTAAAATTCCTCCAATATTTTTTAGAAATTTAGTCGAACTAAAGAAATATTGATGGGCACGAATTCCATAGCAACACTGATTTCTTAACAGAGGGAGTATGCATGATTGGGATGGGTTGCCACTCGCCAATACACAGATGTACGACGTGTCTCGTGCACACACTTCATGAAAATGGTGACCAAGAGTTGGATTTATCGTGCCTACAATTATAAGCATTTCGAAACAATACCACATGTCTAGTTTGCAACAGTTGTCTTAGTTACTCCTAGCCCAGTCTGAATCTTCTTCTTTATCAATAAAGCGGTAGTTCACAACTAAAGGTTCGTTAAAAAAAAGGCATACGCTAAGAAAACATCCTTGTACTCAGCTCACAACTAAGTAGGTCAACTCAACCCACCGAGAACGCACGTCTCCACAGCGGATTCATCAATTCAATATGCAATGTTACGGCGTAAACTATCTTAAGCGAGCTGAAATTACAGAGGACAAGCAAGTTCCAATCGCCAATACCCCGTAAAAAACATAAATGTTCAGTAGCAGATAGCAACAAATATTTTTACAGTGTGCCATGAGTCCATAATCCATGCCATCACCCAACAAAACCCCAATACTGCAGTTTTATACCTTTGTTGTACCTTGTTCTTCTCGGACTTGAGAAGAGATTTCTTTGGGATACGCTAGTTCGTGCTCTATAGTTTGTCAGTACGGCTGCACCGTTTTGTGTGGATTAGTTCCGCATTGTGGTTCTACAGTCGTTTGGTGGTTGAGTCGAAAACTTCACTGGTTCGGTGCCTCTCTCCCCGTCACTTGGTGGAATCCAACCTTAGACAAGTATAAAGCTAGTTATCCCGCTGTTCGAAACAAGTTATCTTTGATTCTTCAACCTACTATCATGAAGATTGGGCAACCCGCAAGGAGGTTCCTTATCACCGGCCCTTTCTAGCAGCTTGCGCGCGTAGCGTTCCTAGGAGATGGTGATCCCCGATCGCTCCTCGCACACATCGATGCCGAGGTAGTACGAGAGTGCGCTCAGGTTGCTCAGCAGGAATCACCCCTTCATGTTCTCCTTGAACGCATGGAGCTTTGCGTCGTCGGCGCCCATGATGATGAGATCGCTGACATAAACACCGACGATCAGCCGCTTCTAAGCCTTCCCGCAGGTGTACAAGTGTGCTCGTTCTCACTACGCCAGAGCGCGGGGGCCTTGTCGATGTCTGTAGAGCACCTTGTGGAGGCGCAGCACCTTGTCAGGTCAGAGCTTGTCGACGAAGTCGGGCAGTTGAGTAACATACACCTCATCCTTGAAGTCGGGCAGTTGAGTAACATACACCTCATCCTTGGATACGTCTCTCACGTAATTATATGAAATATGTTTCAAATGTATCTATTTGTGAACAATATATAGTCATGACTTATCAAAATGGTATGAAATTTTTGGGCCATTCTTATGGGCCGAATTATGTTTCCATGTTGGTTTGTATAATTTTCAGGGTAAATTTAGATATTGTTTAAATTACTTTTTTGAATTACCATAGGAAATTCTACAAACTTTCATGACTACATGATTTTGGTGTATGATCATTGCATAAAGTTTTCAAATAATTTTAACGAATTGGTACTATACATTGTTCAAAATTGGGTACATCTCTCATAGTCACTAAAACTTTGTGAGAGATGTGTTTATTTGTGAACAGTGTAGAGTTGCACTTTATTAAAATAATCTAATATATTTGGGTGAATGCTTATGGGAGCAAAATATGTTGTGGCATTATATTGAATGTCATTGCTAAATTTATATATTATTCCAATTATTTTATGGAATTACCGAAGAATAATTGTAATAATATCAAAACTTGGTTAGTAAATTGTACAAACATGCACGACAACATGTTTTGGTGTTGTAGAATCTTTCCTTTATTTTGTGGAATTAGCATAGACAAATGCAATAATATCAAAACTTTATTAGAAAATCTCCATATTTTCATGACAACATATATGATCCCAGGGTATGATGATTTTCCATAAAAATTTCAAATGCTTTTAAAAACTATTAATATACATAATCTATCAGAGTCTAAGTAAAACTTAATCAGATATTAGGGTTCTTAGATTAGTATAAGATGGCTCTAACAGCAAATGTTAGATCTTATATATACCTATTTAGGACTTTAATTATCCTAATCACTGAGAAACTAATCACAGTATTAAGCCATAATTGCACTTAATCAATACCTACGTGTGTATAATGACGCTTAACTGCACTTAAACAGTACTGACCTATGTCTAATGACCATAAACGTCCCTAGGGCTGCTGAAGTCCTCATGCATGCTTGTCAGCGGGTACGGTGTTGGTGTAGGGATGCAGAGGAGGTAGTCATTGGTGCAGAGGTAGGCTATTATCATGGACATCGGCATAGGATGTCCAACTGATAGGCACTAGTATTTAGGCACAAATTAATTATGCTAATATGGTTGTATATGAAATATATTTGTATGCTATTATTAGGCATACAAGAGATATACTTATATGTTGCATTTCTAGTGTAGGGAAGCAAGTTGAAGAGCATGCTATAAGTTGCAGAGTAGAAACATAGCATGTTGATATATAGAATTCGAGATAGGCTTATATGTGAACTTGGGAAAGTTGTGGAATGTCAAATTCTAAGCCAAATAGTCTAATCCACTAAGTAGATTCCAATTAGCCAAAATGAAAGGATCCAAACGGTCCCTAATGCTTTTTAGAAATTTAGTCGAAAATATTAACGGTTACGAATTTCATAGCAACGTTGTTTTCTTAACGGAGGGAGTATGCCGATTATGATGGGTTGCCACTCGCCAATTCTTGGTGTTTGTTTTCTGGGAGCTAAACTTTAGTCCTGTCACATGGGATCTTTGATACCAATTAGGACTATTAAATATAGGCTTATTACAAAACTAAGTACACAGACAGAGGCTAATTTGCGATAAGAATCTATTAAGTCTAATTAGTGTAGATTTAACAATGTGGTGCTACAGTAAACATTTGCTAATGATAGATTAATTAGGCTTAATAGTTTGATCACGCAAATTAGTCCGGGGCTTCTACAATTAGTTTAATAATTAGCTCATGTCTAGTCCTCCTAATTAGCCTCCAAATATTCGATCTAATAAGGATTAAACTTTAGCCCATTCTAAACAGTTCCACCTGTCTAGGTTGCTATAGTTGTATTAATTAGTCGTAGCCCACTCTAGATCTCTTCTTTACCAATAAAGTGGCAGCTCAAACAATTCCCTATATCCCAAAATAGAAGTCATTCTCGCTTTCTGAGAAGTTAACATTTTTTTACTTTGACCAATTATATATAAAAGAATATTAATATTTATAATACATATTTTGTATCATTAGATAGATCGTTGAATATACTTTCATAATAAACTTATTTGGAGATATAAATGTTGCACACATTTTTTACAAACGTAGTCAGAGTTGAGAAAGTTTGACATTCACGCATCTCATAACGACTTTTATTGTGGAATGCAGGGAATAAGTGTCTAAGTAGGTCCACTCAACCCACCGAGAAAGCACGTCTCCACAGTGGATTCATGAAGGTAATATGCAAGGTTACGGCATACACTATCGTAAAAAAAAGGGGCAGACCCAGTGCCGGAGGCTCCCACATTAGTGGGGTCTGGGAAAGGGATAAACCAGGACAAGCCTTTTCCCACAAAATCTGTGAAGAAACTGCTTGGAACCCACGACCTGGTGACTCAGTAAGACAGCTCTCACCACTGCACCAGGCATACCCTTCTACGGCATACACTATCGTAAGCCAGCTGAAATTAAAGAGGACAAGCATGTTACAATCCAAAATACTCCGTACAAAACATAGATGTTCAGCTGGATATAGCAACATATACTCCACCCCCAGCAGTTGGCGGAAGGAAGCAGAATGAAAGCACTCCCACTCCCAGCAGCCTAAAGAAAGCAGAATGAACAAACAGTAAAAACAGAGCAAGTCTTGTTCTGCACAAGCAGTGGGCGGAAGATCAACGAATGACCAGAATGCATAGATTCACACTAATCCATACCATCACCCAACAATGCCTCTGGTCAGAATAATCTGTGTACATGCACGATACACTGCTGCTCCGGTCCACTGATCTGATTGGGAAGCGATGTCGAGGCACGCTTCATCAAGCCAGCGATTCAAGTGACGCTAGGTGTTGCACCTGCACAAGTTGCAAAAATACGTTGCATGGGATGAAATGGTAAACAATTTGCCATGTTCGATTGATTAATCAGGTGTCAGGGAGGTGTCAGCATGCACGATTACTGAAACAGAGGCAAGCAATCAACGCGCAGACTAATTTTTTACCTGAAGCGTACGCAGAGGGGCACACATTTTTCTTCATACGTGTGTCGTCCTGTGGGCTGCTCGTCTTCAATGGGACATGTTTGGGAGTAGGTAAGCCACTTGCGGCGGTTGCGAGCTGCAGAAGACGAATTGAATTGAATGAAGGAAACTAAGAAGAAAATAGAGTACCAGAAAATAAAATACATTGGAAGAAGGCTATGTTAATTTACCTTGGGCAATGGCAGAGCCACTGATATTTGTCTCAAAGCGGAAAGGATCTCTTGTGTAGAACACATACCAGTTCCTTGGACTGCCTTTATCATTTGCATAGGCCTTGACTAGCTGGATGTGGCTGAACTTGTCCCACTCAGGACCTGATTTCCCTGCTGCTATGGAAGTGAGCAGGGATAAGGAACAATCTAGCAGCAAATGCCTTGGGTTTACATCCTGCAGATACCTTGGGACTGTTTCCATGTCATAATACCTTGGGACTGTTTGTTCACACTTGTGCGTCGTTCTGCACAAGATACAGAGATTGGAATTGAGACGAGGGAACCAAGAAAACAGACCAAGCCAAACACGGTATCTGGAAATAAAAAAATATCGGATGAAGCACCTTGAGTAATTGCAAAGCGACTGATATTTGTCTCAAAGCGGAAAGGATCTCTTGTGTAGAGCACATACCACTTCCCTTGACTGTCTGCATCATCTGCATAGGCTTTTGTTGTAACATGGCTTTGGCGGGTGGCGAAGGCCACAGACAGCGGGGTGTCGCCAAGGCGTCTTCGACCGTCTTAGGGCGGAGACCCGGCGCTGACCAAAGGAGTTTTCCCGGCTATGCTCGAAGGGTGCCGAATCTCCTTCTCATCACCGACTCCGCTCAGGCGGGCGTCTCCGATATCACGAGCGGAGGCCGCCTTATCTCCAAACTAATCAAACAGACGATCTTGCCTAAGTGTGCGCAGGTACTCAAGCGCAGGCGCTCGCGGTCCGCGCAAACGCGCCAGCATGACCCCTGCCCGGCCGGGCGGAGACCTGCGGATGACGCCTCTGCCCGGACCGGCGGAGGTCTTCCAAGGCGACGGCGCGCCCCTGAAGGCGGAGGACAGCGGCGAGAACTGTGGCCCCCGCGCGGCCGGGCGGAGACCCGCGGGTAATGCCTCCGACCGTCCGGCGGAGACCCGCCGGGGCAGCGGCGCGCCCCTGGAGATGAAGGCCGGCGCTGGGGACTCAGGCCTTTGGGCCGAAGACCGAGCCACAGTGGGCCAGTTGCTTATGGAAGCCCATCACTCGAAGACGGTATGGCAGGATTGCCCCGCGAACAAGAGGCTAGCGCCGGAATATTCCAGGAATGTACTGTAGCAGTTGAGGGGCATTGTAATAAATTCTGTTATGTGGTAGTTGAGCCCTATAAATATGGGACACTTGTAACCGTGAGGTTTGGTTGGTGGATGAATTAATGGAACCCTAGCTTTCCGAGCCATTCCCTTGCTCGACACTCTCCCCCTTGTCATTTCCTTCCCGAGCCTCCGCCCAAGGCCGACCGTCCGTCAGGCGGAGGCCTTGATCACTTCCACGTAGTTTGAAACCGCTAGTTTCAACATTGGCGCCCAACGTGGTTGGGCCAAGGCAAACCAACGATGGCAGGGAAAAGAAAGACCACCACCAGAGCAGCAGCGACCACGGGTCAGCGAGGAAGGCCTAGGCGCAACACTCGTAGCGCCTACGCAACCTCGCCAGCGGAGGATGACACCAGAGCAGATGCCCAGGGTCAACCACCGGAACCCCAAGACCGAGAGATTCAAGATCCGGAGGCCCAACCAAATTCAGCCACGGCACCCGAGCAAGAACTGCAACAGCTGCAAGCACAGTTGCAAAGAGCGCAACAAGAGAGGGACAGAATGGCAGCAGCATTTGCAGCTAATCAACAAGCTATTCAAGCATCAGCACAAGCAGCAGAAATAAGGCAGTAGTTGGCAATCCTACATGCTGAGATGCTAAGTATGCAGCATGCAGTACCAGCAACAACCTCCGCAATCCCAGCCTCCGTAGCAACACCAACTGCAACCATGCTTCAAGGTTCTACGCCAGTGATCAGCCAGCCGACAATGCCATCTCAGGTGATGCGGAGGCCTATCGATCCCAAGTCACCACTATCTGAAGGCATACAACAGTCGCCATGGCCAACAGCGTACAAGCCAATCACACTACCCAAGTTCAACGGAAAGACTGACCCCCATCAGTTCATCATGAGTTACGAGGCAGCAGTAGCCTCCACCGGCGGAGACGACGCCGTCTTGGCAAAGTCATTTGTCATTGCAGCCGAAGGTGACGCACTGGCTTGGTATTCTATGCTCAAACCAAGTACAGTCTATTCTTGGGAGAACCTCCGGGACAAGATATTGACAAACTTCAAAGGCCTAACAGCACAGTCGCTGACTTCCACAGATCTGTTTCAGTGTAAGCAAAGAGACACTCCATGACTACTTTCGGAAATACGTGCAACTAAAGGCGAAGGCACCAGATGTCCGAGACGAGATCGCCATCGAAGCAGCAATCAAAGGCCTCCGAATTGGGCCGTTCGCAGCACACTTAGCAAGAGAGAAACCAACCTCCATTCAGTAGTTGTATGACCAATTTGAGAAGTACTGCAGATCAGACAATGACCTGCGCAAGAGGCTGGAGGAGCAAGGTCAAAACAGACAACAAAACAACAGCAAAAATCCCTAGAAAACCTATACGAACCAGAATGTATCAAATCAGAAGCCAGGCCAGGGGCAAGTGCTCAGTATCGAGGGTCAACCCCACCCCGAGCAACGGCAACAGACAGCGCCAACACGGCCGGAGACCCAGACAAGGAACCAAAATCGGCAAGGTTACCAAGGCAAAAACTAGAACAGAAACCAAAGCCAGAAACAACGCAGGCCATATTGCGTTTTTCACGGCGAAAACGCAGGGCACAGCACCAAAGATTGTCCGGAGACAAAACAAACACAAGAAAGGATAAAGAACAAGCAAACTGCCCAACCTCCGACACAGCAGAGCGCAAGAGAGGTCAACACCACAAACACAACTAGCCACCAGCAGTACTGCCCAATGTACCCAGCGCTAAACGCAACCCAAATACATCCCTCCACACTGGCCTCCGCCTATTACCCAAACTTCCTACCAGCATGGCGGTCATCACCTTCGCAGCAGCCTCCGGCGGGCAACTACAGGTCGGAGGCAAGCTTGACCTACATAAACCCAAAATCTCCCCATATAACCTACCTTGAAACAAACACACCGGAGCAAAACCGAATAAGGTTCGAGCCTTCGCAGCCACAGCACCACATGCAACAATTGCCTCCGCCACCACCGCACAACCAACCCCAAATACCAAAAAACGAGCCGAACCCAGAAAACCAAGTCAACCCTCATGGAGCACTGCCAACAATAGTCATGATATTGCCAATCGCCGGAGGATCATCAATGGAGTTTCAAATGAAAAAGCAGAAAAAGGATCACCTCCGCCTAGTAAACAATGTAGCAGTCCAAGGCCCGGCGAAATACACAGATTGGTCCAGAGTCCCAATCACCTAAATAGAAGAAGATCTCCAGCTAGAGAGCTACCCTCACACAGATGCAATGGTGATCAGGACAAACATAGCAGCATGGGAGATAAGTAGAATACTGATCGACACTGGCAGTTCAGCAGATATAATCTTCGCAAATACCTTCGACCAAATGAAGCTCAGCAGAAATCAACTACAGCCCTCCGAATCCCCCCTTAATAGGATTCGGAGGCAAGCAGATACAAGCATTAGGAAAAATCTCACTCCCAGTGTCGTTCGGAACCCAAGCGAATGCCAGAACCGAGTACATAACGTTCGACGTCGTCGATCTGTATTATCCATACAATGCCATCTTGGGCAGAGGATTCACAACCAAATTCAACGTAGCCCTGCATATGGCCTACCTGTGCATGAAAATACCAGCACTCCACGGTATTATCACAGTCCGAGGCAGCCAGAAAGAAGCAAGAAACATAGAGAAAGCTATCTACAGAGCCCAAAGAAACATCAATGCAGTCGAGTCGGCGAACAAAGAACTACAGCCTCCAGACATGCCCAAAGGAGAAACAGATATGGTAGGACAGGAAGAGACAAAGCTGATCCCTCTAGAACAAGAGTTACCAGACAGAAAAGTGACAATCAGCTCAAAATTGTGCAAGGCAGAAGAGGAAGAGCTCATGGCAACCATAGTAAAAAACAAGGACATCTTCGCCTTGTCAGCCTCCGACCTCCAGGGAGTCAGCAGGGACATCATACAGCACGAACTGGACATCAACGAAAACATGAGACCAAGAAAGTAGAAACAGAGAAAAATGTCGAACGACAAAATCCTGGCAGCAAAGGCGGAGGTGCAAAGACTGCTAGATGCAAAAGTGATCAGAGAAGTCAAGTATTCAGAATGGCTTGCAAACATAGTCTTGGTACCAAAGAAAAATGGCAAAATGAGAATGTGCATAGATTTCACAGATCTGAATAAAGCTTGCAAGAAAGACCCTTTCCCATTGCCAAGAATAGACGCCTCCGTCGACAAGGCAGCTAGATGCCAGAGGTTCTCTCTCCTCGACTGTTTCTCTGGGTATCACCAAATCTGGATGAAAGAAGAAGACGAAGTCAAAACAAGTTTCACCACCCCATTCGAGACATACTGCTACACCAGAATGCCGGAGGGACTCAAGAATGCCGGAGCAACCTTTGCCAGAATGACAAAGGAGGTTTTGGGATCACAGCTAGATAGAAACATCATAGCCTATGTCGACGACATAGTGGTCATGAGCAAGAACAAGGACGACCACGTCTCCAACTTACAGGAGACCTTCGCCAACCTAAGGACAGCTGGCCTCCGCCTCAACCCAGAGAAATGTATATTCGGAGTCACAAAAGGGAAGATGCTCGGTTATATCATTAGCAGCAAAGGCATCAAAGCGAACCCGGACAAAACCAGAGCAATAATGGCAATGACAGAGCCCAAAAACAAGAAGGAAGTACAAAAGCTAACGGGAAGAATAGCTGCGCTCAACAGATTCATCTCAAAATCAGTAGAACGCAGCCTACCCTTCTTCCAAGCCCTGAGGGGCGGAGACAACTTCGAATGCGGGTCCAAGCAGTCGGAGGCATTTCACAACTTGAAAGAGTATCTGGCAAACTCATTGATGGTCTCCGTCCCAGAAGCGGACAGCCACCTATTGTTGTATGTGGCGGCCTCCGACCATGCAGTCAGCGTAGTCTTAATCCACGAGCTAGAAAAAGAATCAGGCAAAACTCAAAAACCAGTTTATTTCATCTCAGAAGCATTGTCCGGAGCCAAACTAAACTATACAGAGGTAGAGAAAGTTGCCTACGCAGTGCTGATGGCATCAAGAAAACTAAAGCATTACTTTCAAGCCCACGAAATCTCAGTTCCAACATCACTACCACTACAAGACTTGCTCAGAAACAAAGAAGCCTCCGGCAGAATAGGCAAATGGGCTACAGAGCTATCACAGTTGACGGGGCACACCAGAGCTGTGGGAGCGCCGCGATCCCCTCCGCTCGCAACTCGAGCGTCCGCTGACGGGGCGGAGGAGCTCTCGACGTCTTCGCTGCCGGCAGAGGCAGCGCCCGCACTGCCAGCAGAAGAAAAGGCCAGCGCGATCAACGGAGCTCCGCTTTTCTTCCTCTTTTTCACAGGCGCCCGAGAGCCGATGACGCCCTTCCTCTTTTTAGACTCGGCCTCCGCCGTAACATTCTTTGCGTAGGCCTTCTTCTTTTTCTTCTCAATCGAGGCCAGGACCTCAGCGGGAACCTCGCGCTCCCGGTAGATAATCCCGACCTCCTCAAAAACTCGATTAAGCCGCGGCATGGTGCCTGCCACGACCATCCGAGACGTGTACTCACGCTCGGAAATCTTGCCGACCAACCCTATGGCGGCCTCCTCGACTTCGGAGACGAAACCGTCCTCCGTCACTCCCTCCCCCAAAGATTGACCGAAGCAGGGGAACGGAATCCCGGCCTCCAGCCCGAAAATGGGAACCTTGACCTGTTCTAGCTGAAAAGCTGGGTTGTTTTTGCCTAAGGGCCAGTAGTTGGAGGCCATGATCTCTTCCACCAGATCGCGGCCACCAGAGTAGCGGCACGCTGCCGCAAAGGCCCAATCACAGGCCTCCCGCGTCGGAGACACCGCCTCCGGTGGATCCACGCGCGTGTGTGGTGCCATATCATCCATCCGAGAAGTCAATGGGTACTCGGAGAGCTCCTCGCCATCCTCAGTTGTGTTGCGGACCCCGTAGGTCTTCACGTAGAACCACTGCTCCAGCCAGCTGCGGTCCCACTTGCCCTTCTGGCAAAAGGAGATCTCCAGGCGGTCCACGCCTTGGTTCCTCTTAGACATGAAGGTGCAACTACCATACTGGTAGGTCACCTCCACCTCCTTGCCATCCCACACCTCCTTCTTCCTCTTCGTCTGCTTCTGCAGCTCATAGTACGGGCAAAAGGTGTCCACGTCCGGCTCGGCACCGTAAGAGACGCACGCCCAGCAGAATTTGCTAAGTGTCAGGAAAGCAGTGGGCGTTAGATGATGGAGCTGGACATTGAAGGTCTCCAACACCCGGCGAAGGAAGGGAATGTAAGGAAAGCGGAGGCCGTAGGTGAAGAAGTCCCGAAAGACCACCGCATATCCTTCCTCCGGCTCCGGAACAGTCTGACCCGGTGGAGGGATTTTTACCCTGGAAGAAGGGAGACATGACTCCTTCAACATCTCCGCGATTGCTTCCTCAGTAATAGAGGACGGGCCGAAGTCCCAAGACTTTATCGCCATGTCTCCGGGGTCCACGGCGATCAAGTCTCCGATAGAAGCAGAGACACTCCCCAAGTCCTCCTCCACCACCCTTTCCGGCTCCAACGTGGAGGCAGAGGCAAGCATGCACTCCTCAAAGCGCGCACCCCAGCCGACGGCCCTAACACCGAGAAGGTGGCGGTAGGGTCCGGAGAAGGCGGGCCGGCAAGTTTGGGCGGAGGCAGAAAGAAAAGCCACCGCGACAGCAGCCTAAAAGCGAAACGCGAACAGAAAAACGGAACGCGCCAGGACAGCAAGAGGCGAAAGCGAAGAGGGCAGGGAGCGATTTCTCGAATGCAATGAAAGCGAATGAGCGGCGTGTTGGGGGACCCCGCCGCCAAAAGCACCCTTATATAGGCAGCGGACAGGCGGTACGAGTCCCGCTGCACAACGGTCACCTCCGGAAGATCCACACGCTGCGCAACGGTCACCTCCGAAAAAATCACGAGGAACGCAACGGACACTGACGTGGCAGAAACGGCCGCAACATAGGGCAACGACTAGATATGCCGCCCAACGGCTACTCTCAACGAGACCAACGGCTGCGCCAGAGCGGGCCAGGGGGGAAGTAGCGGGGCCTCGGTCGAAGACACCGAAGGCGGCCTCCGCCCCCGCGGACGCTTTCGGCCAAGGCATTTTGAGCTCACGGCACGCTCTGGCGAACATTGGCCTCAAAAGGGGGGGAACTGTTGTAACATGGCTTTGGCGGGTGGCGAAGGCCCCAGACAGCGAGGTGTCGCCAAGGCGTCTTCGACCGTCTTAGGGCGGAGACCCGGCGCTGACCAAAGGAGTTTTCCTGGCTATGCTCGAAGGGTGCCGAATCTCCTTCTCATCACGGACTCCGCTCAGGCGGGCGTCTCCGGTATCACGAGCGGAGGCCGCCTTATCTCCAAACTAATCAAACAGATGATCTTGCCTAAGTGTGCGCAGGTACTCAAGCGCAGGCGCTCGCGGTCCGCGCAAACGCGCCAGCATGACCCCTGCCCGGCCGGGCGGAGACCTGCGGATGACGCCTCCGCCCGGACCGGCGGATGTCCTCCAAGGCGACGGCACGCCCCTAAAGGCGGAGGACAGCGGCGAGAACCGTGCCCCCCGCGCGGCCGAGCGGAGACCCGCGGGTAATGCCTCCGACCGTCCGGCGGAGACCCGCCGGGGCAGCGGCGCGCCCCTGGAGATGAAGGCCGGCGCTGGGGACTCAGGCCTTTGGGCCGAAGACCGAGCCACAGTGGGCCGGTTGCTCATGGAAGCCCATCACTCGAAGACGGTATGGCAGGATTGCCCCGCGAACAAGAGGCTAGCGACAGAATATTCCAGGAATGTACTGTAGCAGTTGAGGGGCATTGTAATAAATTCTGTTATGTGGTAGTTGAGCCCTATAAATATGGGACACTTGTAACCGTGAGGTTTGGTTGGTGGATGAATTAATGAAACCCTAGCTTTCCGAGCCATTCCCTTGCTCGACACTCTCCCCCTTGTCATTTCCTTCCCGAGCCTCCGCCCAAGGCCGACCGTCCGTCAGGCGGAGGCCTTGGTCACTTCCACGTAGTTTGAAACCGCTAGTTTCAACAGCTTTGACTTGCTGGATGTGGCAAAACTTGTGCCACTCAGGACCAGATTTCCCTGTTGCTATGGATGTGAGCAGCGACAAGGAACAATGTAGCAGTAAATGCCTTGGGTTCACATCCTGTAGATACCTTGGGACTGTTTCCATGTCATAATCCTCCAAAATGAGTCTCTGTAGTGAAGGCATGCCCTCCAATACCTTCATCTCTGGGCACATGACGATGACGAGTTTCTGCAGTTTCGGTAGATTACTGATCCTCTCCAGGTCAGTGTTTCTGAACACATGGAGGTGGACAACAGAAGCAAAGTTCTCCAAAGAGCTTAGATGCTTGACATCATATATACATAATGTCTTCAAAGCCATTGCGTGGAACGGTAGATTACTGATCCTCTCCAGGTCAGTGTTTCTGAACACATGGAGGTGGACAACAGAAGCAAAGTTCTCCAAAGCGCTTAGATGCTTGACATCATATATACATAATGTCTTCAAAGCCATTGCGTGGAAGGCAAGCCCAGGTGGCACACGCCTCAACTTGCACATTTTGAGTACAAGCCCCTCCAAGATAGGCATGCCTTTCACTTGTTCCTCCCACACCCATTCCTCCCATTCAACAAATCCATCAAAAATCAACAGATGTAATCTGGGAAACGCAACCCCTACATGATTGCTTGGTTGTAGGAATTCAAGCCCAACACGCTTGATTGCTGGAGCCTTTCTAATCTGTAGCACCTCCAAGCAGGGGAGCTGACTCAAGCCACTAGGAAGCTCTGTGCAGCAGGCCAAGTCATCCATCGTTAGAATCCTCAAGCTCCCAAGGGGCGTAACTGCTGTCAGCATCATCCAACCTGGGAGCCGCTCACCAAAATACCCTTCAATGTTAAGGATTTCTAAGCCAAGCGGAGGGCAGAGCTCATCAAAAACCTCCTCGATTTGCCTCTTCTCTTTCTGTGAGATCCCTTCTTCCTCTTCTACCAACAGGCCATCATCTCCAAGTCTACTGGTGCATTCCAGTGACAGATATCTTAGGCGATTCTTTTCACCAAGTTTGGCCTTCATAGCCATTGAGGAAGAAGCTACATTCTCCAAGAAACTGATATGAAGATGTGTTAGCTGGCAGAGAGGCCCTAGTTCCTCCAAACTACAGTGATCACAGTCCATGTGGGCTGGAAATGCAAATAATTTCCTCAAAGAAGTTAGGCCACTAAATTCCCTTGGTATAACACTTACATTTGTCCGGTTAAGTCTGAGAACCCTCAAGTCTTGTAGCACTCCAATGCTACTGGGAAGATTAGCCAAACTCTGACAACCAGAAAGGCTAATGTACTGCAAGAATTTCAACTTGCCTATGTCTTCTGTTAACTTGGATGTATTACAGTTTTGTATTGACAAATACCTCAAATGTTTCAGTTGATACAAAGATTCGGCTATTGCATCAATATTTACACTGTCCAAATGTAGTGTTCGAAGACTTGAAAGAGAAACAAATGAATCACCTGGCTTAATCTTTATATTACCAACTAAAATTAGTGTTCTCAGTGATGTTTGTGTTTGGAGAGAACACCACTCCAAATCATGTTGTTCTGATCCTTTGCTTTCGAGAGATAATCTAAAAAACTTTTGCGATTTAAGTTTGTCAATACCAATTTTACTGTTGTGAGCTATGAGTGCTTCATCTCCCAACATGTTATGAGCAAATGACCGAACAACATCATGCATGTTGCAAGCTACTTGATCAAGATATGTCTTATCTGGCTCAATAAGGTTCCGCTGTATTAACCGATCATAGTATTCCCTTCCTATTTCTTCTAGGTCACGTAAAGTTCCATGAACAAATCCTTCACTAATCCACATGCCAACAATGTCATGAACAAAAAACAATGTGCCCCTCGGAAGGAGGGAATAGTGCAAAAAGCAAGGCTTCAAACAAGGCTGCAGATCTTCATAGCTAAGATATACTGCATAATTTAGCTCTTTAGGCATTTGTGATACTGACCATAGAGAATCATCTAAGACATTTTGCCAGTCCGTTCGTCTTATCCTTTTCTGACGCAGGAGACCTCCCATTACTTTGACCCCAAGAGGTAAACCATCACATTTTTCAATAAGTCTCATTCCAATATCGTATTTCAACCTGGGGATCATCATTTACGTCTGTAACAACCTGCAAGAATTTTAGGCTAATTAGACAAACAATAATTTATTGTGCAGTGTCGTGATATCCTGTCAATGCAAAACACATCAAGAAAGAAACCTATGCGGTCTCTAGCACATAATTTTTGGTCAGCCTTTTTTATATTATACTTTATGCATGTGAAACTAAGTAAAAAGAAAGAAAAAAGGAACGAATGTTGCTTCGGAGACAATAGCAACAAAGTATTCACTAGCAATGTTCATGATGAATTTCTACTTCTTTGCTCCTATCACCTAAGGAAGTACGGCCTTTCCTAATCTTTAGCAAAATCAGCACTATGCTAATACAACATTGTATGCATTGTAGCTGCCACCGCGTCAATTCTGAACCCACTGGAATGATTCACTACCAATCAATATAAATTCTGTATAATAAAGCTACAGTGCTCAAGAAAACATAACTCAATAAATATGGAAAAATATTCATTACAAGGGGCGCATTAAGGTATGGCCAAGCAAAAATATTAGAAAGAATTATTTCAATTACAAGTGACAGCATGTAATCTCCCAGTGCATGACTATACAAATAAACAGTTGAAAGCAGTAATAGTCTCCTCCCAACAAAGGCGGTTGGATTAGTTTCAAATTTTGTTCCAAAATAATTAATATTCTAAGTGGTACTAGTTCTATTCGTAGTTTCTGGGCCCACTCTTCATTAAATTTCACCCAATAGGCACATCCAGTTTAGTACCAAGAGTTTTGCGTTGGTATATGTGGGTTCTTTACTATAGCACGCTTCCACCCGGTTCACGTTGAAAAATCAATATTAAAAATGCTGTTGTAGACAATTTCATATGCGATGCCTTCTCACGTATACTTCCAGTCATATGATACTTGGTACAGTGGATAATAATATATTTTATAGAGTAAATTACACCCATGGCCCCTAAACTACTACGTCTTCTATCATATCACTAAATATATTGCACATTTAGATCGTTAAACTATTTAAGTACCCCAGTTCTGTACAGCTGCGCAGCCACGGCGGCTATGCGGCCATGATGGTTGCTCACATTCGTGCTTGTGCAGCGGTGGTGGCGGCTCGCTTGTGCAGCCACGGCCATGGCTCACGCTCTCGCGCTCCCCGGCAGCAGTGGCGGCATTGACAGCGAGATGAACTCATGTAGCATTTCTAATGTGGAAGAAGATATTTTTAAAAAAATAGCCCCGCATGAAATTTGTTAATATTTGTGCAATTTATGTATCTAGGTTATTTTGTATATAACCCCCGCTAATATTTTATTTTCAAGCAAGCGAGTCTTTTCTCTGCACACGGGCCTGAATCCATACCAGTTTGTATGAATATGAGGCACAAACAAAGTTTAAAGACCGGAATGACATACTTTTTTATGTTTGGCGACCGGGATCACACAACTCACAAGTTGGAGGACCAACCACGGAGTTTACTCATCCAAATATTATTTCTAGCCTTAGAATATGTAACACGATGTCATCCACATCCAAACAGACCTAGACCTTTTCCATTCCTCAACATGGCATGCCATGGTGGAACATTATCTGTGTGTTTGGATGCAAGGACAAGCAGGGATGGGACGAGATGGCTCCAGGATGAGTGGTGTTTGTTTGGGAGGCCACAAGGGGCGAGGACATCCCACATGGGAATATTCCCGGGAGATGCGGGTTGCCTAGTCCCCAGATATTTGACGGACGGGGGTCGCCCAAGGTGGGACGAGCCCGCTTGCTGGCGATAAAGAAAAGGAGAGGAGGTGCACGTAGGGGCGGTCGACCAAGAAGAGGAGCGCCGGGGGCCACCGTCGCGCAAGCTCAGGGGGCTACTGCCACACGTGACCTCGAGGGGCCGCCACCGTGCGCGAGATATGAGGAGCCTCTGCACGCGAGCTTGGGGGGCCGGCACCGTGCAACCTCTGAAGAGCCACTGCGTGCGAGTTCGGGGGGCCGCATGAAACAGAAGGTGTGGGGCGTGGGCGCCGATCTGACCAGGAAGAGGCGTAGGGCGTTGCGCTGCGAGCCCTTTGGGCGGCTATTGTTGGGGAAAGGGAGAGATGGAGAGAAGGACAAAAAAGAAAGAATAGAAACTGCCAAATGGGCCCCACATGTTAGTAGTGGATCCCACTTTTTATGTCTAAGATCAAACAGAAAACGGGTTGATCCCATCCCTCCCCAACCAGAAAATAAATAGGGTCGCCGCATCCCACAAACCAGAGACAAGACCATCTCACCCTACCTTATCTCCCAACCAAATGCTATCTATATGTCTCATAATATCTCTACTAGTGGATCCTACCCATGGGAACCACACATATATGTTGACCTTTGGCCCACCGTCTCGATTCCCCCTCCCTCCCTCCCTCTCTGGTTCTCTCTTCTCGCTCCGATATTGTGCAGTAGTCCAATATGTGTGACATACATACCCTCGCGTTGGACTACTGGTCAATACCGAAACACAAATGGATCAATTGTGGCCTGCCACATAAGGATGTATAGTGTGTTAGGGCTCATTTAGAACTGGATGATAGCACGTGACAAGTCTGGGGATCTTGATGATATTCTAGTATAAGTGTGGGGGGCATGACAGTAGCATTATAAGAGCTTGGGACTTACATTACATCCAAAGACAAATTCGCTAACCACAGTGCATGCATTTTGAGAGTCTAGGGACCCAGATGACATCATACAGAATAAGTTCGAAGACCGTTTTTTTATTTTACTCTAAAAAGCATAGTGCTAAACAGACTTATTATGGTTGCCTTAGTTTGTGAATTAAATTTAGTTGCTAATTCGCCATGTGGTATTGCCTACGTTATAGCCCATGACAGACCCAATCGAACCTACAGATCTCAAGTTCTTTTAAAAAAGAGGAAGTGTAATACAATGTCCAAATTTTAATTGCTTTAACAAAAAAATTGTGAATACCTGCCCTATGTGGAGTCTGCATGACTGCATATGCAGGATATTACAATACTAACATATGGAAGTAAGGCATTTTGTTTCTTTATAATATATTTCGAAGGTCACCACCGTAGAACTAGATGTTGAAACAAATAAGACAAATAGAAGTTGTTGCCGGGACAGGGAATCTTGTTCCCACTACTAAGATAGAAGCAAAACTAAAGTGATGCAGCTAGAAAACAAAATGCATAATTAAAGAAAAGTAATTAATGTATGCATTAACTTGTACCTGCTTCTTGAGCAGCAACCATGCATCTTGAAGCCCAAGTTTGTCAATACGATGGTAGGGCTCCTCAGCCTTCATCTGACGTGCCACTATGTCATGCCTTGTGGTGACCAGCACACGGCTACCTTGAGCTAGCATTCCATGGACAAAGGGAGTTCTAAGCACACCTTCCCATATATTGTAGTCCCAGACATCATCCATTATTAATAAGGTTTTGTGTCCCTTCAAAGCATCTATTAGAGTCTGTTCCAGTGCCACCTTCTAATTTCCACAAGCATGGTGGTTTCCACCAGCTTCGATAATAACTCTCCTTAACATTTCAGTATTGTTGAAGTCTTGGTTGACACTCAACCATATTTTCTTCGTGAACTCATGTTTTATGACTTCACTGTTGAAGATCTTTTGAGCAAGGGTGGTTTTACCAATCCCACCAATTCCCACAATAGAGAAAATGATTATTTTATTGGATTTGTCGTCATCAGTTGGATACTTCTTTGTTAGCATCTCTACTAGATTTGTTGTGTCCTCTTCGATCTTCTCACCAACCAAACCAGATTCGTCAAGCCCCCCTGACGTCTCACGGGTACCAGAAGGATATGATACCACGTTTCTTCCACGGTCCTCATAAGTACCAAGGTTCATGAAGTTGAATGATGCACCACGTGCCTTGATGTCATCTAGCTTCTTGTTAAGGTTCTTGATGCGGCTTCCAATGTCGTGGGCATGTAGGGGATTCCGTATGCAGAAGAGCAACGGGTTGAAGCATCCGGCATCATGCCTTTGGCCTCGCTCCATGGCCTTGAGCTGGCACAGGTCGAGGATGTCAGTGGCATCATACATAGCATTCCTTAGCTCTATCCCCCATGCTTGGACACTTTGGTCTGTGATGTTCCTCCTATCAGCATCAGCAAGGATGTTCTTCAGATCCCGAAGCTTGATGTCCATGTTATCAATCTCACCGGACACTCCAAGCAACATATGCACCTCATCTGCCGCCATCTGCATGAGCATGTTTTGGATGTAGGACGCCAAAGCATCTAGGACACCGGCCATGATTGAGAACTTTGGTTTTGCTGTACCAAAATGAGAACAGATATTAATTTCAACATGGCATTTTAATTTTATACGTCAAAGATTCAATCATCTGCCATCTATTATTGCAGCCATCGTGGCACTACTACAAATGCGCAGATCTAGCTACACATAAGCAGCTGCAGAAACGTAACAACTACATCACAGTGGGCACTATATGCGCAGATCTAGCTACACATAAGCAGCTGCAGAAACGTAACAACTACATCACAGTGGGCACTATATGCGCAGATCTAGTTACACATAAGCAGCTGCAGAAACATAACAGCTAAGGAAACGAACCTGGGGCCGACGAGCTGAGCAATGGCCAGAAGCGGTGAGGCGGTGCCGGTGTTGTTCGTTCTTGGTCGTGGAACAGGATCTACTGGTTAATGGTTAGACAAGAATCGCCATGGACATCGTCGACCTGACCAACCAGATACTACAGCTGGATTGTAGCGTGCGGGTGAGTGATGAAAGGAGGAGCAGCGAGATGGATTTAAGGTTCCAATTTGAGGTTCTTGCCCGCGAGGGTAACAGTAGCTGGTTGCTGGCTTGTGTGCGCTGTATGAGCTAGGAAGGAATTGTTGATGATTCAGGGAAGAAGGTGGTGACTGGAGTAGCTCGTGGTAACACAGCAAGGTGGGAAGGAAAGTGCGTGACAGCTTTGATCGACTTGCGTGCGGCGTCCTAGTTTATTAATCCCACACCGGAGCCTTGGATGCTAAAAGTAGCACTGAGCCACCGTGTGAAAAGGCATGCCGTAGCGTGGAGGTGCCCACAAACATGTTTTCTCGTCGCACAGTACAAAGGGCCTGTTTACTTCCCAAAATTTTTTTCGCATCCATCACATCGAATCTTACGGCACATGCATGGAGTACTAAATGTAGACAGAAAAAAAAACTAATTGCACAGTTGAGTGAGAAATCGCGAGACGAAACTTTCGAACCTAATTAGTCCATAATTAGACACTAATTACCAAATAAATGTAGACAGAAAGAGCTCCGGCTCTGGCAGACTTCAGACACGAGCCAGAGAAGCTGTTGGTTGGTGGCAGACCCCAAGATCTACGACGCTGAGCTTGGTGTCAGGATCTATGGCGTTGAGCTATCTGTTAAGTTATCGTCACGTCTGTGTCGAGTCTAAGACCTCGACGCCAGCAATTAGTGCCGAGCAGTGGAAGCTCGACGTCAGAATCTACGGCGCTAAGCTAAGAATCCAGATATTGAAATATTATCTCCAGAGACGTATTTGTGAAATGCATTGCCTCCTTACATATTTCTTGAGGAATCTGCCAGCAAAGATCTGTTTTTGGATTGGCTAGATCAATGACCTGCCATCTGTGCAGCACGTGACCGTCAGGTGCACGCACGGGGATATTGGGGGCCTAACGAGGAGAGGTGAGAGCAGGGCATACAACCTGAATTTGGATGGGTATGACGAGAAGGCAGCACGCCAAGAACGGCAGGTGCTTGCGAAGGCAAGGAGGTCATTGAAGGATCCCAGGAGGGCAACAATAGACTGGAGAGATCAGCCCACCCTTGAATCCCACATGTAGCAGGGGCTGTTTCTGTGGAGGCAGAGGTGCCAGATATTGTGAATTGATATAGGGCTTTGCATGATGGCAGACTCACTGCAACAAAGTAAATTCAATACATACATAAATTAGATGCATGAATTGAATACAAAATGAGAAATAGGCTGATAACTTCCAAGAGACAAAGACACCCCACGAAACAACTGCATGACACAATTTTGTTGAAACTAGCGGTTTCAAACTACGTGGAAGTGACCAAGGCCTCCGCCTGTCGGACGGTCGGCCTCGGGCGGAGGCTCGGGATAAGAACGACAAGGGGGAGAGTGTCGAGTAAGGGAATGACTCGGAAAGCTATGGTTTCATTAATTCGTCTACCAACCGACCTCCACGGTTACAAGTGTCCCCTATTTACAGGGCTCAACTACTACATAACAGAATTTATTACAATGCCCCTCAACTGCTACAGTACATTCCTGGAATATTCCGCCGCTAGCCTCTTGTTCGCGGGGCAATCCTGCCATACCGTCTTCAAGTGATGGGCTTCCATGAGCAGCTGGCCCATCAGTAGCTCTGGTATTCGCCCAAAGGCACAGGTCCCAGCCACTGGCCTTCGTCTCAGTGGGGGTGCTGCTGCCCGTGGTCTCGCCGGACGGTCGGAGGCATTACCCGTGGGTCTCCGCCCGGCCGCGCGGGGGCCATGGTTCTCGCCGCTGGCCTCCGCCTTGAGGGGCGCGCCGTCGCCTTGGAAAACCTCCGCCGGTCCGGGCGGAGGCATCATCCGTAGGTCTCCGCCCGCCGCGAGAGGCCATCTTTGGCGCTGCTTGCGGACATGAGCGCCACGCTTGAGTACTGCGCACACTTAGGCAAGATCGTTTGTTTGATTAGTTTAGAGATAAGGCGGCCTCGCTTTCGTGATACCGAGACGCGCCGCCGAGCGGCGGAGTCGCGATGAGAAGGAGATTCAGCACCCTTCGAGCATAGCCGGGAAAGTTCCTTTAGTCAGCGCCGGGTCTCCACCCTAAGACGGTCGAAGACGCCTTGGTGACACCCTGCTGTCGGGGGCCTTTGCCACTCGCCAAAGCCATGTTATAACAGTTCCCCCCTTTTGAGGCCATGGTTCGCCGGAGCGTGCTGTGAGCTCAAAACGCCTTGGTCGAAGGCGTCCGCGGGGGCGGAGGCCGCCTTCGGTGTCTTCGAGCGAGGCCCCGCTACTTCCCCCTTGGCCCGCTCTGGCGTAGCCGTTGGTCTCGTTGAGAGTAGCCGTTGGGCGGCAAATCTAGCCGTTGCCCTATGTTGCCGCCGTTTCTGTCGTGTCAGTGTCCGTTGCATTCCCCGCGATTTTTTCGGAGGTGACCGTTGTGCAGCGGGCGGATCTTCCGGAGGTGACCGTTGTGCAGCGGGAGTCGGACCGCCTGCCCGCTGCCTATATAAGGGTGCTTTTGGCGGCGGGGTCCCCCCCACACGCCGTTCATTCGCTTTCATTGCATTCGAGAAGTCGCTCTCTGCCCTCTTCGCTTTTGCCTCTTGCTACCCTCGCGCGTTCTGTCTTTCTGTTCGCGTTTCGCTTTTAGGTTGCTGTCACGGTGGCTTTTCTTTCCGCCTCCGCCCAAACTCGCCGGCCCGCCTTCTCCGGACCCTACCGCCACCTTCTCGGCGTTAGGGCCGTCGGCTAGGGTGCGCGCTTTGAGGAGTGCATGCTTGCCTCTGCCTCCGCGTTGGAGTTGGAAAAGCTGGTGGAGGAGGATTTGGGGAGTGTCTCTGCGTCTATCGGAGACCTGATCGCCGCGAACTCCGGAGACATGGCGATAAAGTCTTGGGACTTTGGCCCGTCCTCTATTACTGAGGATGCAATCGCGGAGATGTTGAAGGAGTCATGTTTTCCTTCTTCCAGGGTAAAAATCCCTCCGCCGGGTCAGACTGTTCCGGAGCCGGAGAAAGGATATGCGGTGGTCTTTCGGGACTTCTTCACCTGCGGCCTCCGCTTTCCTTACATTCCTTTCCTTCATCGGGTGTTGGAGACCTTCAATGTCCAGCTCCATCATCTGACCCCCACTGCTTTCCTGACACTTAGCAAATTCTGCTGGGCGTGCGTCTCTTACAGTGCCGAGCCAGATGTGGACACCTTTTGCACGTACTATGAGCTGCAGAAGTAGCCGAAGAAGAAGAAGGAGGTGCGGGATGGCAAGGAGGTGGAGGTGACCTACCAGTATGGTAGTTGCACTTTCATGTCTAAGAGGAACCAAGGCGTGGACCGCCTGGAGATCTCTTTTTGCCAGAAGGGCAAGTGGGACCGCGGCTGGCTGGAGCAGTGGTTCTACGTGAAGACCTATGGGGTCCGCAGCACAACTGAGGATGGCGAGGAGCTCTCGGAGTATCCATTGACTTCTCAGATGGAGGATATGGTGCCACACATGGGCGTGGATCTGCCGGAGGAGGTGTCTCCGACGTTGGAGGCCTGTGATCAGGCCTTTGCGGCAGCGTGCTGCTACTCTAGTGGCCGCGATCTGGTGGAGGAGATCATGGCTTCCAACTACTGGCCCTTGGGCAAAAACAACCCAGCTTTTCAGCTGGAACAGGTCAAGGTTCCCGTTTTCGGGCCGGAGGCCGGGATTCCGTTCCCCCGCTTCGGTCGGTCTTTGGGGGAGGGGGTGACGGAGGACGGTTTCGTCTCCGAAGTTGAGGAGGCTGCCATAGGGTTGGTTGGCAAGATTTCTGAGCGTGAGTACACGTCTCGGATGGCCGTGGCAGGCACCATGCCGCGGCTCAATCGAGTTTTTGAGGAGGTCGGGATTATCTACCGGGAGCGCGAGGTTCCTGCTGAGGTCCTAGCCTCGATTGAGAAGAAGAAGAAGAAGGCCTACGCTAAGAATGTTATGGCGGAGGCCGAGTCTAAAAAGAGGAAGGGCGCCGTCGGCTCTCGGGCGCCTGTGAAAAAGAGGAAGAAAAGTGGAGCCCCGTTGATCGCGCCGGCCTTGTCTTCTGCTGGCAGTGCGGGCGCTGCCTCCGCCGGCAGCGAAGACATCGAGAGCTCCTCCGCCCCGTCAGCGGACGCTCGAGTTGCGAGCGGAGGGGATCGCGGCTCTCCCATAGCTCTGGTGTGCCCGACGGGCGGAGCCATGAGCGGTGCCGGGCATCCAAAGACCAACGTTGCCCCGGCGTGCTCCTCGCATGGTGCTTCGAGCGTCAGCGAACAGTCGGAAGGTAGCGCCATCGAGCCTATGCCCGACATTCTTGGCGGGCTATGCTCAAGCTCTGAAGAGGACACGGAGGCCATCCCGCGGCGTGCTCCTTCGTCCTCCGCCACTATCGCGCCTTCGCCCGTGCCTATGGCCGACGTCGTGCGGCTGGAGGCCGCTCTTGCCGAGGAGGCCCCGGCGGCTCGGCCTTCTTTGAGTCCTCCGCCCGCCGGGCCGCTGGCTGAGGAAGTCTGGCCCCTTGGGCCTTC